ATATATATAATATATAATATATATTATATATATATACATTTGATGACTAAAGACAGAAAGCTCAGGGCAGGACTTACCACTCGCTCACCTTTATTAATGCTCTTCTTCTCTTTCGTCTGTGGAGGAGATGAAGAGGGAATCACTTCAGGCCGCTCCCTGTCCCGGACCTCTTTTTCCTCCAGACAGCGCTCCTTAAAGAAAGTGCTACATCATTTCAGATGAGCAAATAAAAATGGTTTAATCAACGTAACAATCCCTAACAAGCCTGATTCCTAAGGAAGATGTAGCGTGAATGTCAGTGGACTGCAGTAAAACCTCCCAGTTCATGTCCATGATCCTGGCTTCAGTGGCCACACAGATGTGTTAAATGGTTTTTGTGACTGAACATGATATGACACGTGTTCCTTAAGGTGACAAATAGCACTGAAAAATACTACTAATGAAGCACTACTAATAAGCAGTATTAGGTGCTACCTGAGTATATGGTCGATTTTTAACTGGTCACAAGGATCTCGGTCTTTCAGCATGCTGTTCAGAGGCTCATTGATCCACAGCACAGCAGCCATCACGTGCTCAGTCCTCTCTTGACTCTCAGGGACCAAGTGGCTCGAAACAGCAGCTGATGACATGCTCTACACACCACAAACATGAAGGACTCCTTCAGAAGGGTGAAAAAGGTGATTTACTAGTACAAGGTAAAAGTTCTTATGTTGCAGGGTATTTACCTCTCAGTATGAAGTGCCAGGAAATGACATCATCTACCTTTTCCTGTCGTTAGGTGACATATAAAATGTAACTATATGGCTGATTAGCAAAAGGCGCTGCTGTTCTCTTGCACGACAGATTTTTGCAACTCTCTTATCTCTTTTTTCACTTCTCAGACATTCACTGTCAACTTAACTCTTTAGGAGCTCCTGACTCTGAAGTAGACTTCCTGGTTCCCCCACTGTCTTCCTGTCAGTTATTTTCAAGCTTTACTCTTCCCTCCATAACTGACGTATCTAATCTCATTAAAAAATCTAAGTCATCCACCTGTCACCGTGACCCTCTCCCCACTGTGTTAGTTAAAGCCTGTCTTCCCTCGTTGGCTCCTCCCATAACCAATATTATTCGTTCCTCCCTGAACACTGTTTTGTTCCTGAAGCACTGAAAAAGGCTTCCGTTATCCCAATTCTCAAAAAGCCTGGTGCAGACCCCAATAACTTTGACCATCTTCGCCCTATATCAAATCTCCCCTTTATTTCAAACATTCTTGAAAAAGTTGTCGCCGCCCAGCTTCATTTACATCTCAATGACCATAATCTCTATGAACAATTTCAATCTGGTTTCCGCCCCAATCACAGCACAGAAACTGCTCTGTTAAGGATTACCAATGACCTTCTGATGGCAGCTGATTCTGGTCTCCTATCCATCCTCATCCTTCTTGATCTTAGTGCGCCGTTTGATACCATGGATAGCTTCCATTGGTATTAGTCACACCCCCCTTGCCTGGTTCACCTCCTATCTCTCAGACCGCACTCAGTTTATCCAACTTAAATCCCATTCTTCAACTCTCTGTCCTGTTTCTGCTGGTGTGCCCCAGGGTTCAGTATTGGGGCCTCTTTTATTCATTATTTATATGCTTCCTCTTG